AGTGTGGAAAAACCTTTGCTCAGAGAAGTAATCTTATTTCCCATAAGATGAACCACGCAGGGGGGAAGCCTTATAAATGCATGGAATGTGGAAAGACCTTTGCTTATAGTAGTGCACTTAGTATACACAAAAAGATCCACACAGGAGAGAAACCATTTAAATGCATAGAGTGTGGAAAGACCTTTGCTCTGAGCAGAAGACTTACTATCCACAATAATATCCACACAGGAGAGAAACCATATGAATGCATAGAGTGTGGAAAGACCTTTGCTCAAAAAGTTTGTCTTATTTTCCATAAGATGATCCACACAGGGGACAAGCCGTATAAATGTATGGAGTGTGGAAAGACCTTTGTTCAAAAAGGCCATCTTATTTCTCATAAGATGATCCACACAGGGGAGAAGCCATTTCAGTGCATGGAATGTGGAAAGGCATTTACTCATGGCAGTGGATTTAAAAGCCACAAGAAGATCCATTCAGGAGAGAAGCCATTTAATTGCACAGAATGTGGAAAGACTTTTGCTCATAGAAGTAATCTTATTTCGCATAAGATGATACACACAGGAGAGAAACCATATAAATGCATGGAATGTGGAAAGACCTTTGCTCGGAGCACTACTCTTACTATCCATGAAAGGATCCACACAGGGGAGAAACCATATAAATGCATGGAGTGTGGAAAGCCCTTTGCTCAAAAAAGTAATCTTATTTCCCATAAGATCATCCACACAGGGGAGAAACCGTATAAATGCATGGAGTGTGGAAAGACCTTTGCTCAAAAATGTTATCTTATTTCCCATAAGATGATCCACACAGGGGAGAAGCCATTTAAATGCATGGAATGTGGAAAGACATTTACTCATGGCAGTGGACTTAGAAGACACAAAAGGATCCATTCAGGAGAGAAGCCGTTTAAGTGCACGGAATGTGGAAAATCCTTTGCTCGGACCAATGACCTTAGAATCCACAAAATGCTCCACACAGGAGAGAAACCATTTAAATGCTTGGTGTGTGGAAAAACCTTTGCTCGGACCAGTAAACTTACTATCCATGAAAGGATCCACACAGGGGAGAAACCATATAAATGCATGCAGTGTGGAAAGACCTTTGCTCAAAGTAGTAATCTTATTTCCCATAAGATCATCCACACAGGAGAGAAGCCTTATAAATGCATGGAATGTGGGAAGACCTTTGCTCAAAGTAGTGGACTTACTATCCACAAAAAGATCCACACAGGAGAGAAGCCTTATAAATGCATGGAATGTGGAAAGAGCTTTGCTCAAAGTAGTGGACTTACTATCCACAAAAAGATCCACACAGGAGAGAAACCATTTAAATGCATAGAGTGTGGAAAGACTTTTGCTCTGAGCAGTAGACTTATGATCCACAAAAAAATCCACACAGGAGAGAAACCATTTAAATGCACAGAGTGTGGAAAGACATTTGCTCTGAGCAGTAGACTTACTAGCCACAAAAGGCTCCACACAGGAGACGAATCATTTAAATGCATGGAGTGTGGAAAGACCTTTGCTCAAAAAGGTCACCTTATTTCCCATAAAATGATCCACACGGGAGAAGCCGTATAAATGCATGGAGTGTGGAAAGATGTTTACTCGTGGCAGTGGACTTAGAATCCACAAAATGCTCCACA